TCGTAAAATCCAACGCAATATAATTTATAATAAAATATATAAAGTATATTTCTAAATAAAGTGTACATTTATTTTTTCCATTATATGTAAGATTAAAACACTGTAAATGTTTGTAATTATTTGTAAGACTAAAACACTAAAATCATGAAAAAACATTTAACTTTTAACTTGTTAATTATTTTTTTTATTAACTTAACTTTTAATCAATTAATTTCATTATGGATTAACTTATATCTTAACTAAATAAAATTTTTAAGACCTTTAACTGTAACTTAACTTAAATAAAAAAAAAAAAAATTTAACTTACCCAAACTTGAAAATAGATATTAAAATTTTTTGTAGAATATTTTGTACAAGATATGTTGCAAAAGTAATAAGACTAACTCCTTTATCAAACAAAAAGGAATAATATTTAAAATTAAAGGAATGATATTAAAGCTATTTTATCAGATATTATTACATGACACATAAAAAAAAAGTCTTATTACTTTTATAGATTTTCAAACAACATTACTTTCTTTGATGTGAAGAATTAATCTGGCAATAAAACCCAAGTAGTCTTCCTGCAGGAAAAAAGAATATATTAATAAAAAAATTTTAAGAGACAATTTTAGATATAAGATATCTTGTATATAATATTATTAGATGATTTGCAATTGTTTCAAATTTAACACTGTACAAACCTTAGTTTTTGCCTTTAAAAAAATATGATTTTCCATTTCAATGCTGTTTCTTGTTGTTGTCATTCCTGACAACTGAATAGCTTCATCTCTGTTAATAAACAAATGATTATACAACAAAACAATGATTATATAACAAAACTTATATTTATGATATATATTATTGATACATTAAACTATTATTCAAAGAAATTTATCGTATATATGTATATACAAAAATATAAGTTATATTTCAAATTAATATATACATTGAAAATACATGTGCATAACTGTCAGATGTACATACTATATAGTTAGTAGAAAAACAAAATTGTTCAGAGTGTAAGAAATTTTCCTTTTATTGTTCTGAATTACAAATAGACATGTCACATCATATGATATATCACGTATATGGTGAATATTTTCAATTTTTTGACATTTTCAATGTAAATTGTATTTGTGAAATAAAACTTACATTTTTGTAAGTACACTTTGCCGAAAGTTTGTTGTTTTCCATGATTCATCTGCTGCCATGGTTTATCAATACAATAAATAACAAATTCAGGGAGAAAGAGAGAAATGTGTACGAGTGTACAGATATTTTTCACAGTATATAATCGGTACGTGAAATATACAACTGTGTAAATGCTCCAAAAAATTGAGCTCTACTTATCACTCGCAGCACTTTGATTACGGTTGATGAGGATTTTTTTTTTTAACACACAACTAGATCACAACGGGATCTCGGAATAATCCTATAAAATTTTTCATGTGCAAGTCAGTATTGCATCTCTTCGACCAGCCTCGACTAATTAGACGCCATACGCCATATCAGACGTTTCTCCGCACGCCGTACGCCATCTTGCGAATTTGACATGTACTTCGAGTTAAGCATAGACTACGCACGAGTTTGTTTATTACACCCGCGCGTATTTCACTGATAATTTTTATGGTTTTATTACCTTTCTTTTGAAAAAAAAAAATTTTATCGACCATTAAGATGCAAGATCCGCGAACAATATCACAAACCCCGTAAAAATCCAGGCAATATATGAATCCGGAACTTCTTTATCGGATTGTTCGAAGAGTATAACAATACAAATCGCGATTCAAATCTTGTACCGCACATGTCGTGGCCGTCGTTTGAAATTGCAAGACTTGCACGCGACTTGCGACGTCACGGTTCATTAAAAGTATAAAAAGGAAATTTGCAATTCAAAAATACAATTCAGTCTTTACAGACACGCACATAAATAATGCGCATGATATATTTTCGATGTCTAAACTGATAATATTGTAAACTACCTACGATGATTAGTTTATTTAATAAACTTGTAGATTCGAAAGATTGTCCACAAAAAGTTCGACTCCGGATATTATGTCTTCTATAGATGAGACCTCAGAGGTTAAATCAGGATAAAATAGCCCAAACGTAAATTGTAGAGAGGACAGTAAATAGGTTACGTCGAAAAGCCACACGTTGCTCAAACTTGTGTATTTCAGCCCTCTTGTTACAGCTCTGTTCGTATCACTTCCGCTCGCCACGAAGTCTCGACGCGAAGTCTCTTCCCCCAAGCCTTCTCTTTTTTACAAAAACGCCACCTTCCGCCGCTTGGCGGATACTACATATAACTCCACCTATGTCCTGATTGGCGGAGCCATTAACCTCAAAAAAGGGCGGGAACTACTTCCAAGCTTACAATAGGCGATTTTTGGCGATCGTATGGTACATATACCAAAGTGTACCAAACTATAGTTTGAGTGACTTCAAATTATAGTTTGGTACACTTTGGTATATGTACCATACGATCGCCAAAAATCGCCTAATATAGAATGAAAACTGGAGTTTCTCGGGGAGTTTGAGAAATAATGAAAATACAATTTTTCCCGTTTAAAATCGATTTAACTCTGTACATGTTTTTCTTTTTTTTATTGAATTAATCTTGTATTTTACCTTTATATATAAATGTACAAATGTTTCAGATACGTGGTGAATGAGCGAATGTTAAATAAATTTGATTTCAAACTTGAAGAAAATCGTGAACACTCGGAGATGCGTGTTTTTCTCTCTTGGGAGGGTGATCTCTCCGTCCGAAATATATCCACATTTTCTTTCTTCTCATTTTCTTTCTCTCGGTCGTTCAAGTTTAGGAGAAAAGCAAAGCGCTTTCTCGTCGTGATGTTTTACACTCGTAACGTTTCTCGATCGATACACATTTCTCGAATTGATGGTGATTTTATCACCGCGACGAGATGCGTCATCGGAGCTCGTTAACCCTTCGAGTTCCGCGATAATGTGGTGATAGAAAGTGAGTAAGTTGGTCTTTTTTTGTTTTTTCATATTAAAAATTATTTATTGCAGCAGAGCGCAAAAAATGATCAGCAATATATACATGACTGTATTTCTAGATTATATATATATATGTAGCAAACTTTTGTAAGGGGTGATTTCAACGCTGAATAATCGCTAGATTATAAGATGACTTCACACGACACCCACTACTTCTTGTACTTTTTTACGTTCCTGAATTAGGAAATTTTTTGTTACATGCATTACAAATTAATGCCGTACGGTGAGTGATGTATCGACGAAACGTACCTCTGAATTGGAAATGACCAATTAAAACGACAAGTAGCAGCGATAATACATGTGTCAGATTTCGTCAAAAGCACACCACCTTCACTCTTCACTAAACAAATCATTGCGAAGCAAAATATTGCCGTACGAATGCGAACGGGGTACTCCAGTTCGCCGCTAGATCGCTCTGCGATCCTACTCTCAAACATAATGCAAATGTTTAGATTTAATGGTAATGTCAATAAACAGGTTTTCTCTTTGAATGTTCTCTTTGAATCTTAATATATTCTCCGTGCTTGGAATAACGCGAGAAAATGTCGAAAAACAAACCGATAAATCCAACGGTAAATCGGATTAAGTCATGTATAAAAAAAAAAAGCCCAGGAACAAAGTTTTTATATATAGAGATATAGTATAAATTACATGTTAAGAGTCTCACACTTTTAATTATCTTATTATGTTTTATTGCGTCGCATTTAAAACAAATTTCATGTGTTAAATAATAAAACATTATAAAAATGTTTTCAAAAATTCAGAACAAGAATACTGTAAAATAATTTGCTTGTAAAATAGTTATTAAGATATTCTTTTCCATGTTCACTTTTCTAAGTCGCGAAATTTTGCATTCTATTTTTGACATAAATTTTATACAAATCTTGTTTATTGCAGTGTACTTTGTCGATCGATGATGCGGAGGAGAATTTTGGATCGATCATGCGTCAAGCTGCAGCGATCTATAGCGATAAAGTTAAAATTCACAACTGGTAAATAATTTTTTTCATAGATTACATTTAATAGAAAAAACAAAGAGTTGATTCCAGATATAATCGTGCGGTTGTTAGCCTTAGCAACGCACTTCGCGAACTAACGAATGCACAAGCTTGTACTCTGTACATGTATAATTTATTTATTTAGCATTGTAAAACTTTCAATTGTGTTTGCATAAGTAGTGCAACGTGTATCTGAGATTATGACTTTGTGTGAAGATAAATCTTCATTGCTATCGAGCCAGCTAAAGTGAGTTTGTTATTTAAACAAGTGAAATTAAGAACACAACAGTGATAGCATATATATAGATTTAAAATAGAAGAAAACTATTCTTGAACTATCACGTTATAATCAAAAATACACCACAGGCAGGAAAGGATGTTGGGAGAGCCTAGGGATAACGTGGATTTTTTTCCGCCGAAAGGAAACCTTCACAGATCCTCGTATCGGAGACTCGGCCCGGAGGAAGATATTGTAACGTCCGAGACGCGCTCCATGTTGTCACAGATCAAACTGAAAGACGAATACAAAGAAGTCACTTGTCCACGGCGCAATTTCATTGTGGCGCAGTCTGTCGCTGCATTTGAGTACGTTTTTGAGTCTCCTCGATTTTTAAAAACAAAATAAAAAAAGGATAGTAGAAATTTGTTGGGGAATTTTAAAAGAGATTTTCTTAACTCTACAAATCATTGATCTCGATCATGTGTATTTTCTCCAGTTTTATTTTATTAATAATAAAAAAAAAATATATAAAATCCCATTAATTTTATCAGACGAGAAAATGAGGAAAAGAAATTAACGGTGGCCGAAATCTTTCTGGATCCCACGGTCGCGTGTCAGACGGACTATCGCACCACCACAAGCCGCGATTATTGGTTGTCTTACTCTCCGAGGCCGTTATCCTCATCACCGCCGCCACCGGAACCGTGGTTAATGAATCGTCGCACCATCGGTTACGATCTCGAGGATTTGGAAAACCGTTGCGGGTATCACATGTTTTTAGACGACAACATGGATATTTATCGAAGAATAGCAGAAATAAAACGGCAGAGAAGTAAATTGTACAATCCTCGATAATTGACGAGCAGCAGAATTCCAACAATTGCTGCTGACATAAATGTAACACACACAAACGGACTGTTCGCTTTAAACTCAACGATTTATTAGAAAAATTCAGTATAAATAATTCAGTATAAGAGTATTTCATAAGAGTGAAACTTTTTGAATAAAACTTAAATTAAAAATATCAAAACGCGCCATATATAAAATAGTAATAAATATTTCTCTTATTCACAAAGACAAAATATTTTTTCTCAGATTCTTTTATCGACAGCTTTCTTTTAATTTTTTATCGTGTCTCATATCACAATATAAATATTATAAAATATAACAAAAAAAATTCAAATATAATTATTGTAATATGTTCTGCCAAGCAAGCGCAGCGACACAATTGTGTGCGCACACAAATCGATAAGCAATAAAATTTTAAATCCTCAAATACTCTTATAAAAAATGCAAAGTAAATTATCTGCAGTAAATCGTATATGAAGAGAAGGTATAGAGAAACGAAATACACAGTTATAATAGCTGCAATGTAAAATATATTATATCTACATCTTGCACACGGATATGCGCACGATCACGATCTACGAGTTGGAGGAATCCGGTGTAATGGCGTGTTATTCGATATTTCTGCCAAATCGCGAGTGTCCGTATTCCTCGTCGTCATTGGATCGCTTGCCAAATCGCCAGTGACCGTACTCGGTGTCCAGTTGCTGACGTTTGCTAAGTCGTAAATTATCGTCGTCCTCGCCGACGAGATCTTCCACCAGATCCTTCATAAGACCCTCCATAGCGTATCTACGACGTGAAACACAACGGAAGTATATATTGTTAATTTGTAAAAAAAAAAAAAAAAAAAACTAAATTTTACATGTATGCCAGAATTTATGTGTTGTCTTAATTTTTCAAGCTTTTAAAGTTCTTATACGTTGATGTAGAAATTACCCGCGCAAATGTGGATGATGATTCGTGATTGTGGTGTGATGCGTGCCAGTAATTAATCCCGGCGCTGCTTTGCATCTTCCGCAGAAAAGCAATAAGATCATCATGATGCAAGACAGCATAAGAGTCAGGTTCATATCTATATAAATGTATGTTTTTATGTTTTATTGTGGATTGTTATAAATGCTTAAATATACTTTCTTCTCGTAATAATATAGACTGATATACATGATGTTAAATTAATAACTGCATATAAATAAAACTCACTCTTATGATACATTTTATACATTTATATATATTAATATAATTTAAAATAAAATTCATAAGAATCGAAATTCATAAGAGTAGCAAACATACATAGAAAAACTTAAAAATAAAAATCGAGACAGAGATGATCAAAATACCTAATGGATATCACGTTGGGGTGTTCTTCTGCGACCGAAAATCTCCACTCTGGTGCTTCCGAAACGATTTCGTATCCGCTCGGCTGCGTGTACGTTAGGAAAATCGGTGATGAAGTGTACGAAGTGCGAGCGGTTCGAGATCTTTTTATATCGCAGCCACCTTTATTCATTTCCCGGTTTGTAGAACGAAGCGGGGGTGAAAATGCACAACAGGCGCAGTGCTGTGAATTTTAATTCCCCACAACCACATTTGATAAACAATTTTCTTTCAGTTCCTTCACCGACATTTCTTTGCCGCCGGTGGTCGTTCAATATTCCGCGATGTTACGCGTAAATGATTGGCAGATCTAACCGCATTATCGATTTTGCATCTCGATTTTTTCCGTTTTCTTCCTACGAGCGAAAAGTCAAACGTCTTCCAGGAAAAGAAGGCAACAGCTTTTTATGGATGAATAACGAGATGAATGAAGCTGTCGAACACGCGCTATTTTTACGTAGCCACGTTTCCCGCTTCTTTCAATTCCGCGCGATTAACTCCAGAACGCCAATCATGGGTCTGTAAGACCACCAGGCGAGGAAGTATAAAACTGACGCAAAGAAAAATTACCTCTTTTTTGACATTCATTACATTTCGCAATTCAACTGGGAAGTACTGCGATGTTAACATTTATTGTTATAATTGTATCGCAAGTTCTCATGTATGGATAAATAAATACAACTTTGTCTTGTTTTTTTGTTTTTTCAACAGTCTCTCTTTTATTGCGAAACGCCTCAAATCATTTGATCTATTCGATTTCTTGTCAACGCACGAGGTCATGGTCACGATCATCAATGGCTTCCGCGTTTGTGGTGCTTCCTACCAATCCTATATATCAGTCCTCACTTATCCGGATCGAATTATTCGTCCAGATGTTAGAACTGCGTCTCGTTCGAGCATCGCCGAATCTCATTTAATTTCTTTTTCTCACTCGTGACCTCAGAATGGTCACTATGGCGGAAGTCAGAGAGACAGTGCTTCAAAAAGGTCTGTCTGAATGGTGGAACGAAGAGACGGAACATGTGTTTCAAAGAATCGAGAGATGGGCGACTTCTGCGCGCGGTTACAACCGTCTGCAGCCACAGAAGTAAGAAACCAAAACTTTTATCATTTTTTTCTCTAGAATCTATGCATTTTTTAAGTGGAAAATAAAATTCCACTTCACTATTACAGGATATAGCGTTTTTCGCTAATCTCAAACTTGTGTAACTATTTTAGATTCTTTTTAGTAGATTAAAAAATTTAAGTTTTTTGTGTTTTTAAGAAAACATCGAGTTTGTTATTTGTTATAACACGATAAAACTACGAGATTTTTGTAAAATTTATCACCAGATGGTCAAAAAATCGACAGTCAACACGAGATTCCCTGAACGAACCTACCGAGGAAACCAGCTACATGCAGCGATTCTACAATCTCAAGCGATCCAGACGGAAATCACAAGCGGAGGAAGCCAAGATTAATTGCTGCGGGACTTTCAGTTACCAGTCGAACAAACAACTGGACAGCAACTGCTTGGAAACTTACCAATATGATCACAGCATCTACTTCAAGACTATCGGTGATATTAGGAAGAACAAGAAGAGCATCAGTGATGAGATCAAAGACAACATATCTATCAGCAGCGAGGAATTGGTTGAATGGGACTCCAGCTCGCTTACAAATCTAATTATTGATCAATTTATTTCTCAGGAATCTAACAATAACAATCATCCGAACAAATTAAGTGTTTCGGACAGTGTTGCTGATCAGAAAGATAATAAAGGGGAGGAAATTCCCTCGCCAATTGTTGACCTATCCAAGCTCGATCTGAATCTACCGGAAAATCGAAACGAAGACATTCGGGTGTCTCGTTCGATTGATATGAACAATTTCGAAAATAATGAAAAAGAGCAGGAGAATAATAACATCGACAATTCAGAAGTGGACAAAGGGAATAACGAGAACGGTTCAAAATGTCAGGAGAAGATGAAAAGATTTCGTTCGTTTCGAAAAACCAAGCGATCGCCTAGGAACGTGCGACAATCATCAATCGTTGGTGAAAACAACGTCGTCCGGCCGAGAAAACTACTTCTGAATTACACCAATAGTTTCGACATCGCCGACCCGTGAGAGTAAAATTAAAGTTTTTAAACAAGTTTAAAAAATGAGTAAGTTGTTTTTTTTCCAAATCTTACATGAATAAAACGGCGACAAATGTGGTTTTTAATTTTATAGAATATAAAAAAATATTTGCATTACAGATGAGAAGTACATATATAGTTTTTATCTTTAATTTTTTGGAGAATTGATTATTTTCTTTAATAATTATGTTTGATTTTATATTTTTTTAAACTATATAGTATGTATTATAGAAACTCTTTTTGTGATTTTCTGTCTGTATAGTGCTGTAAACATTTATATTTGTTGAAGATCTATATGCATGTTTCTGTGTAGAAAAATATATTTTTTACCTTTATAAATTTGATTTGACCGTCTACTTATTTGTTTATAGATTATCCTATGTATGTGTGTGTATGTACGTGTTGATTTTTGAAAAAAAAATCCCGACTAATTTGTGAAACCATTTAATGCGAGATACGACTGTACATCTCTCGATTAAAAGAACTTATCATCATCGCTATAAATCTTCGCAACAAATTAAGAGCATCAATAAGATATTGCGAGTAAAATAATAAAAAATTGTTCAGAGCAAATTTTCGAAGATTTCGAGATTCTTCTACTACATTTATCGAACGTTTGTTCATCATGTGTTCGATGATTTTTATTCGAAATAAGATTGTCAAAATTGTCAAATTCAATTTTTCAAACAACGTGTCTACAGATCACTTTAGTAATTTATTAGACAGCTACTTATGACGTCCGTTTCTAACGTTTGCGATTAGTTCGCTGCGTGGAGAATTGTTCCGATAACGAGAGAGGAAAGGAAGGTCTTCATCATCGGCTCTGATACTCTGATACAGGGTAGCGCGCATGCACCAGCTCAGAGAGAGAGGGGCAGAAGCCACGCACGCAACTCGTAAGTGTGCTCGTAATCCTGTGTCCGCTCGCAAATCGATCGTGCGAGCTCAACTTGCGACCCAACTAAAACCCCGATAGTGCGTAATAACACTACCCGTTCACCGAATTCGAGAAATTCGAGAAACTCCCGTTTTCGTTCGGCGAGTGTGGGAACGGATAAAGACGTCAAGATGAGCAAGCGACTGGAAACCGTGGCCACGATGACCTGCATGAAGACTCTGCTGATGCTCTTCAATTTCAGCTTCTGGGTAAGAGAGCAAATTCTCTTTTGACATTCCTGACACATTTGCTTGTGTCACGCTCGCAAAATCCCTTGTTGCGCAATTGATCATCGACATTGTGTCGTTCGTATGTTGATCGAATTCGTTTTATTCTCGATGATAATTGTAACAACGGCAAGGTCGTGTATCAAGTTGCTTTACTAAAATAAAATCAGCTAGATATTTTATATATATATAAAAAAAGTTGTACTTCTAATCAACGATAACAATACGATGATAACAATAATAAATGATAACAATATATGTATATATTTATACGTAATAATTATATATGTGTAATTGTTACTACTTGATTTATAGTTGTTTTTATCACGTTTCCGTTTTGGAAGATCTTCCGTGAAAAAAATTCTGCATTTTTTGCTTCAAATTGACCAGGTCAAATAAAATTAAATATCCACAGGTATCCGGGATATTAATGCTGTGTATCGGTATATGGATGCGCATCCAGTTGCGAGAGTACATGAACATGAGTATGGAGGGCAGCGGGACTGCTTTGTTAGCACTCGCGTGCTTGGGAGCGGTGCTGGCGGTCGCGGCAGTTCTCGCCTGTTGCTGCACCGCACGCGGTCATCCCGCACTGTTATATCTGGTAAGCTCGTCTTCAATCTGTTTTACAGAAACAAAGATAAAATTTATTTAAAAGTTTGAATTTATTATTTACTAACAATAAAGTGCATTCAAAACACTTTAAAGTTTCCTTTTTAATCTATTTTTTTTATATATTCGGTATATCTTTTTAACTATATACAAATTTAAGAGACGTTTTTCAAATATTTTTTGTGTACCATTTTGTAAAACAAAAAAACAAAAGGAAAATTCCTTCTTCTGCTCTGGTGATATGAAAGAGCATTTAATAGCTTTGGACATCACAGTTTGTAACAGTTCGAATCACTCTGTATAATTAGGATAAATATACATATGTGTTTTCGTATGGGATCAGTATGGCGCATTCTTGGCTGTTGTGGCGTTGTTGGAACTTGCCGCGGGCGCGTCGGTTTACGCTTATCGCACGTGCTTGAACGAGGGATTCGATCAAAGTCTGAACGCGAGCATGGCAGCCTACGATCAGGACAAATCCATCAGCAATCACATCGACTTTATGCAAGAGACGGTAAGTATTTCTCGAGATACCTGAAACTATTACTGAAGATACTTTGAAACTTTGAACAAGATTGATTTGAATTGTCGAAATGATCCAAAAATTTATATTAAAAAAAAAAAAACCAAAGATAAGAAACTTTGTAAGGGTCATATTGTCCATTGTTTGTTTTATAATTTAAGAGCTTTGTACATGTGTTTTAATACACTGACGTTGATCATACAGCTACAATGTTGCGGCAATCGCGGATATGCCGATTGGTTCAATCTTTATCCACCAAAGAACGTTCCCTTCTCCTGCTGCAAGGTGCCCAAGGATAAATGCGATCCGAACGAGGTGGAACAAATTTATACCGAGGTACGATTTATCGTAGAAGATAAATGCAATGGCATGTTGAATTATATTAAGCGATATTTTTTTTTAAATGACATATCTGATTGAAAATCAACTCTACGCTACTTCTTTTTTGACTAGTTAGTTCACTTTTCTTTTACGTTTTATTTTACTGTCCATGTTTCTTCAGGGATGCTACAATCGTGTGTTGGATTTCATAAACGGTAACATCGGTTTGGTAGCCGGCACAGCGATTGGCATAGCTTTCTTCCCGCTGGTGGGCGTCTTCCTAGCATGTTGCCTGGCCAGCAACATCAACAAGGCCGAGTACGAGCAGGTTGCTTAGGCACAGCATTCGCGGAAGCATCAGCGACGATCTTATCCGAAAACAGAACCGCATCACTTTCGCAACAAATATCCATGAGTTTAACACACGATGACGAAAATGACGATGATTTCGATCGAGGCAAGTTGAGCGCGGTGTTTACCGAAGGCTTCCGTGTAAAAAGAAAAAACAACAAGAAAAAAAAGGTTGAGATGATTTTCAACACCCAAGGTACGAAATTGTACACAAAATGAATCCATACACGTGAAGTACAGATATACAATGTGTTTTGGTGCGCCATAGGTAATTTCAGCCTTTATTTATTAAACGACCTATAGGAAGTTTTTTTGTTCTCGCTTCAGAAATTAGATCGCACGAGCGAGCAATTAGTTCTTCCAACTATTTTCCGATCCAATGTACAAAAAGAAGGTGTTTTCAAATATACTTTCGTATATTTTTACACACGAAGAAAGAAACAAAAAAGGAGCACGATTGAAACTATGTAATTTGCGCACAGATTCTTTTTTCGATGTGTGCGTAATAGGCTAATTATTTAACGCGTTTTTTCGAAGCGAAGCTTCCGCGCTTCGGTTTCGAGTTAACAGACGGAAGAAAGCGTTTGAGAAAGCGAGAACTATCGAAGTGGAGATTAATGTGTATTCTTATTGAATTTGTTTAAAAACTTTTCTTCAAACTCCTCGTAGAGACTATACGATAGCTTAGGAAGAAACATTTCCATTCTTGGAAAGAGAACAGATGACGATCGCGTTATATTTTTTGCAGAAGAAGAAAGTTGATGGTGTTGCAAAACACTACACAAGATCAGTATTTTTATAGGCTGACAATTCACCCGCGCAATGTGATTTTACCTTCAAGAAACCGAAAGAAAAAAAAAAAAAACGTTTTCTCGTCGATCCTTGTAGAATTTCATCTCGCAAACCTCTAGAGTCTCTATATATATATATATTTTTAAATCTTTCCTCTCTTTATTAAATATCGTCTTATTTGAGCAATCTCTATTCTTCGATCTTTCAGTCCGCAAACTCGCGGGCGCATCCCGTATTTCACAGATATGTGTATTTTTCATCTTCAAACATTTCACCACAATCTAATGCACATTCAACGTTTAAGCTGTAACTGTTTTTTTTCACGTATCACTTCCATCCAATTGACATTGAAACAAACCCACACAGAACAAAAATTCCATTAGACGTCTATTAGACATCAACAGCTCCATGCGACATCTAATAAATGTCTAATGGATGTCTGGATGGATGGATATCTGTGTGGGAGAGAAGTTTAACGTTAGATAATCAATTATAGCAGGTAGCATTAAATATAAAAAATAAATATAAAAAATCTATTTCACGTTATTACTATACAAAATAGTTATATATACTATATATATATATATATTGTTGCGAGACCGCCCGGTATGCACAGCCGCGTCGTTCGAATGGCAAAAAAAAGAGAAAAGTTTCTGGGACGACGGTTGTTTACAATGCGATGTTTAGGAGACTAGACTTGAGGATTCCGGGGCGGTTTGGACGACGCGCTTCCACGTCTCGAACGTGATTTCTGTTGTAAAGCAAGTCAATAAAGCTCCTTTACATTTAATCCGCGACTTCTTATTCTCACGAGTTCGTGTGAGCCGCACCGAAGAGTGCGGAAGTGACGTACCGCGCGTGTGAGATGTAACAATATATATACACTCTTTGCATTATAAAACATGTAACAAGACGTATGTGCTAAAATAAAAAAAAAAAAAATATCGTCTTATAAATTAATCTATTGATGTAAAAATTACAGAGGTTTGATGATAAACAAAAAAAATTCCTTTTTTGTAAATATTCTTAAACCACTTCCGCTGATGCACGCGGTATTGAGGATGTTGTTGTCGCAGGCTAATCAATATCTGACTGTGTAACTACATGTTACTTTTGTGTAAATTTTAACTGTATCTTGCAAAATCTTTACATTATATATATATAAGTTATAAGCCTCAAAATAAAAGTTAATGAAACACAAATGTTTTTATTGTTTTTAGAGTATGAATTTTCATGTGCTCGCAAGTTTCTACCAATATGAACGAGACCAGAGCTTCCAAGTTGTACTTCTCTGACGGTGGCTTTCACTCTCCATCGTCACTTAAAACATTTCTCCTGGACGGTCTCTTTTTGATTTGCAACGTAAGCACGTTCTCCAAAACTTCGCTCTCCTTCAACTTGTGCTTTTGCAAACAAACCGCGAAGTTGTAAACGTGAATTTCGTGTGAACGATGCACCTGTTATACGCAGGTGACTGTGTCCTTTTCCATAAAACGCAAAATCCTCCAGGAAGCGTTCGTGTCGATTTTACTTCTGTACAATACCTTTATGTTCGCAAATCGAAAGCGTCATAAATAATCACGAGATGTTGTCGTTAAAGGCGCTAAAAAATAATTATTTGTATCTTGTGCAATTCCGAATCTAATCAATTCGATTATTTGAATCGATAATTTGTAGCGTTATAGGAAATTGGTCTGAGTGCGCAAGTATATTGCGACATTTTAATGGTTTTTTTATTGTCTTGTCTATATCTGTTACTTATATATTTTTGTTGTGCTAATTGTCCTTTGCACTTTTATCCCATTTTATTCTCTCACTCTCACCACATTTACTTTCTTGCGTCGGTTCGTCAATCTGTAAAAAAAAAGTTTTATTTTTAATGTTCTCTTTCCCACAAGTTACAAAAAAATAACTCGATGAAACTGAGATAATAAAAAAAATAAAAACTATTGTAATTAAATTCTCTTGAAAAATAACGGAACATACGTAAGTTAGTTACACTGTCACCAACTTCATAATCAGAAAAAGTAGTTAGCAAAAGCTAATTTTATTACACCCCGAACCGTGTGGCCAAACGGATGTCACCCGGCTTCACTTTTTTTCGAATATGCTTCCTCCTTTACGAGAACACTGGTCGCAGGCGATCTCTGTCGGTGTGTCGTAATATTACAAACGATTTTTACGGAAAAGGGATGAGAGTTCCACTAAACTTGAGGAAGGATCAGATTTTCATTGCACTTACTCTAGGATTAATTACTGGTTATTACAATTGGAAACATCTGTTGATCGAACACTTGAAGAAAGAATCAGAAATTATAAATGAGGTAATTAGATAACCTTAAAAAAATATAACCTACATCGTCAATTCAGGAGTTAACGTGGGGAGAAGACAGAGTTTGTGCTCGCAAAAATCGCTGTGACGGTTAATTGGGCGCGTTAAAAAGACTACATAAAAAAAAAATAAATAAAAACCTACATCGTCCAACTCATCCATCCGTTTTACCTTTCTTAATGAGATATTTGTGCAATTTTTGTGACAAAATTTTTAAAATGATTTCTCGTACGTGAAACAATTTCTTCTCTCTCTCTCCCCCCTCTCTTTTATTCAGGTGTTTACTTACTTAAACTATATCATGACAAATATCTTATATGTCCACAGTCTAATAAGGAGAGCCAATAATGTGCTTGTTCAAAAATTCAGTTCAATTGGGCTTTTAGTGATCAGTGGTGTTTTGGCTTATGTATGTTTTAAGTAAGCATAAGTTTGTTTTTCCTTTATATTTAATCCATGCATAGTAAATACAAAAACTTGGAGAAAATGTAAATTATATACAACAAATATTTGATATATTTTATTTTTCTGTTTGTCAGAGTGGGTGTAAAACCTTGGTATCAGCGATGGAAACATAAGAAAATTGAAGCACAGGCAAACATAATCTATGAGCTACGTTATGGTAAAGCTTCGCAAGAACATCAAGACGAAGATCAAATTTAAATTTGTTTTTATATATTATTGTTATGTGACTTCACATGTCTTTATTCATATTTTTATTTAAATAAACATTGTAATGATAAAACAGAATGCAAGTAATGTAATATCAGCTCAATAGAATTGTTACATAACTGCTACCGCAGAGAGATGGTCTCTGACACTTTTGTGATCTAATTTTCCTCAAATTTTCCACTATAAAAAGGAACATATTGCAACACTGTCTTCCAGTCTGTGAAATACAACAATGTCAGTGACGATGCGGTCCCATAGGTGATTGCACTTGGGAGCCTACAGCACAAGAAAAATTATTTCCCTCATGTGAGGAGGAGGTTACATCTAACACACTCAAAAACATCTATTTTTAGTACGAAAGCAAGATAAGACATTTTCAGATTTTTGATCAAAGAGACAAGTTACGTAAAATATATATAACGGAACCAAATCAATCACTTTTTATGTCATTACTGGTTTATTATGTGGCTAAGTAATTGACCAGATCTAATCGATTCGCAAAATATAGTTTTCGAGAAAACTAAAAATATCAAGACTTACCACTTTGTAGCTAGTTCAGCGTGTTTCTTGCCGAGTCGCATTTTTTGGATATCGTTCGACGACACCTGATCGCGGCAATAAATTATTTTTTTTCGAACAAAGTTACACACAAGATCTTGCAAAAATAAATTCTGATGACTTAACCAAATAAGCGTCAGATGGCATTTGCATGCGCAACTTTCAGCACCATCTCGTGATTCGACGTCGCAATCATCACCAACTTTAGAATCCGCTTTTCTCTCTTATTTGTCGTTTGATCGAGAACGATCTCTCTCGATCCGAGTGAGGAACTCTAGAAATTCTCTATGTGCCGCGCCAATCAGCGAGTACCGAGTTACGTCGCGCGACGAATGAATTAACGCACGCGTGTGGTGGATTCGCAATCGCGCGATTTTATGCGCGGTGTCGTGACGTCACGACACGACTCGGTTCGGTCAGGGAAACGCAACCGCCACGACGGCGACGATTGGGCGGCGCGCGCGGACGCCCCGCCGGAGTGCACGCCGGCCGGGAGTGAGTACTACGCATGAATACGGCGTGACGTCACCGCGCCAGCGCTAGGAATACGGCCATTTTGTGTAAATGAGCGCTCTCCGCTCCGCTCCGCTCTACGGAGAATTTGTGCGTTTGCGGGGGTTTGCGGTCGGGACGAGTGGGAAACACACTGGTGAATGATTTGGTTTTTGCGTTAAACGGAACGATCTCGTCGACGTGTTACATGCGCTAGCGAAAGTGTACAAAGGATCATTTATCCCGTGTGAATACTCGTACAAGACCACCCCCCGGGAACAGGTACGATGGAGGAGAAGGCGTCGTTGAAGGAACTCGACCAGTGGATAGAACAATTAAACGATTGCAAACAACTAACGGAAAGCCAAGTGAAAACGCTCTGCGATAAGGTACATGTCGTTTCCCAACACAAATTGACATTGATCGTTCGATTATAATCACGCCCGTGACGTTTATGGCACGACGTACACTCGCGCGCGCCGTGTGTCTCTCTGCCGTTTTAATTTATTGGCGTTCGGGTGTCTCGCGTGCTGGATCGAATAGGAACACCCCTATGTGTGTGTATCATTTCGACTTCTGCTCGTCACGTTTTTATTTCGTCGCTCTCGATAGGGCTCTCTCGTTCCCCTCGATGTGTGCCGCATATAAATTATTGGCAGAATTTCTAGGTTCGCGCCGACGATTACGGGTGTTCTCTCGTTGAATCTCCGACCGCTTCGAGAGACACTCCTCCGTCATTTTAATTTTCTCGACGATGTTTCCCGGCGACGCAAATCTGCATTCGAATCTTGCGCCCGGGAGCGAACTTTTGAGAGTGACTTTGAAAATTATGATCGTCGATTATTCCATTTTGTATATTGTTTAACAAAAAAAATTTGTATTAACAGAGTTCTGCAACAGGTGTACACTTTGTCAATGTTTCTATAGTTAATTTGTGTACACAGATTTATTTATTTGTATAGTTTTGTATTTTAGCTAAATGCAGCATTGTTATCACCTTTAAGTAGCATGTATAATTTGCAATATATCAGTGATAGGATCTATCATTTCTTATCTCTCTTGAATGATTACGCACTTAAGAGGAAAAAAGAGCAACAATGAGATATTATTAATCTGCTATGAATCATATAGCTTCTCTTGAACCAAGTTATTTTTTAGCTTTATACAAAGTTGATAGGCAAAACTCTTAAACTTTTAAAGATATTCTGTTATTTTGAAGCTTGTTTCAATTTCTATAGGTTTTAACACAACAAAGTATTTGATCAAATTGTCTAATTTTTTGCACATATAGGGAGCCATTGTGTTTACAGTGGCATTTGCTTGCTAAAATTTTAATTATGCGTCACATGACAAATGTTTTCTGAGAATATGACATTTAGATTTTCTGTAACAGCCATATTGGATTATGATGTCAGAAGAGGTCATTTAAATTTGTGTCCAACAATTTCCATAAGAAAACATTGTTTGTGTCACATGACACTATTTGAATTTACTAGTACAAGTCAGTAAAATATCAAAAAAAATGTTTTTTGATTTTTATAGATCAATATATATAGAAAGTATATTTAAAAAATAAATCTTGAAATTGATTGTTCTTATTACATCATTTCTGCAAAAATTGTTTTTTTACAAAAGTAATAATAATAATAGCATAACAATATTCATACTAGACATAAATTTATTAGTTCTTCATTCTTTTCATTGTTTTATTCGCAACTTATTTAGCATTTGCAGTTAAAATATCATCATCTATCTTTCAGGCGAAAGAAATTTTAGCTAAGGAATCAAATGTACAAGAAGTAAAATGTCCCGTAACAGTATGTGGGGATGTACATGGACAGTTCCACGACTTGATGGAATTGTTCAGAATAGGTGGCAAATCACCTGATACAAACTATCTTTTTATGGGTGATTACGTTGATCGTGGCTATTATTCAGTAGAAACTGTCACTCTGCTTGTAGCTCTTAAGGTACAACAAACAAATTAATATCTATAATATATATAATTAATAGATATATACTTTATTTCTCACATACATGTAATTTAAAAACTTAAACAACTTACAAGTTTTGTTATTATTTTCAATATTTCTAAAGCATTGATGTTTAGTCTTATGTTAACAGTTTTGTATTACTTGAAATTATTATATTTCCAATTTTAATCTCTTTTCTGTATTTATTTTATTTTTTTTTTTTTTATTGCTTCAACTGGTTTTCTAAATTCTTTTTGTTTCTGTTTACATTTTATCAAAAAGTTATTCTCTTGTTTGGTAAACAAACATTCTTAATATATACACACATATTTTTTCTAGTAGAAAAATATATATTACGTTTATTTTTTTTTTCTTTCCTCTTTCATTTTGTTTATGCATTTGAAGGTGAGATACCGAGAAAGAATAACTATTCTTCGAGGCAACCACGAGTCCAGACAAATCACACAAGTGTACGGATTCTATGACGAGTGCTTACGAAAATACGGCAACGCCAACGTATGGAAGTTCTTTACGGATCTGTTCGATTATTTACCACTAACGGCACTGGTTGATGGTCAAATATTTTGTTTGCATGGTGGTCTATCACCTTCAATTGATACTTTAGATCACATACGTGCCCTGGATCGTCTTCAGGAAGTTCCACATGAAGTTTGTATTCTTTATCTCATTAAAATCTCAATGTAACAATGAAACTTCATCATTATAACTGTTTAATATTTTTGTACAGGGTCCTATGTGCGATTTGCTCTGGTCAGATCCAGATGACAGAGGAGGGTGGGGTATTTCGCCCCGCGGAGCAGGGTACACATTTGGTCAAGATATATCAGAAACCTTTAACCACTCCAATGGACTAACACTTGTGTCACGAGCTCATCAATTAGTGATGGAAGGTTACAATTGGTACGAGTCTATTTAATATTATTTATTTATCGAAATGTATTTTTTTAATGAGAATAAATAGATGTAAAAATATAAATATTTAACACATTCTATAAGCAACTATTTCTATGATGTCATTTTTTTTTCATATAGGTGTCATGACCGCAATGTTGTGACTATATTCTCTGCACCTAATTATTGTTATCGTTGCGGAAATCAAGCTGCTATCATGGAACTGGATGATGCTTTAAAATATTCATTGTGAGTATATGTGACTCCGTTACTGCTGTATAAATATACAGGACGTTATTGAAGATTTTTGATCTTTGTTTTTTTTTATTCAGCCTACAATTTGACCCAGCACCAAGACGTGGAGAACCACATGTTACCAGGCGAACGCCAGACTATTTCCTCTAAGAAGTTAGACTTTAAGGCTAGGTGTCAAGGTAGGGGAAATGGAAAACTTCGCGATCCTGACTTTATAGTGACGCCAGACACACTTACTTATAAACCATCGCTATAAATGAGTGTGAGGCTTGAGAAGTCCTTGCATACCACGTATAGGCCCAAGTATTATATCACGGCTCATATTGTGGTCTCATTGAAAAATAGAATAGATTTACACGCACGTTCCGTGCGTGCCTTACACGATACATGTAGACACATTACTTGTACACTAAACGAAAAAAAAAAAAAAGAAAGGAATACAATAATGTATACACGTATCGATTATTAAATCCACCTGTAGCATTGAGTTTTACAACTTTTATTATATCTGCTTGTATTTTTATTATAAAGAAACTGAATATATATACGATAATGCACACTTTCGCGCGCAATAGATAAAAGCGATTACTTTGTAATCTTCAATGAAAAATATTAAAACTCATGGAGAGAAATTTATATAAGCGAAACTATACATCTCTCTCTCTCGTATATTCTAAACGATGCGCTAAATTAAATTGTCATGCAAGGTTTCCAGAAAAAAAAAAAACAAAAATATACCAAACTGGTCATAATTTATATGTAAGAAAGTGTCACTTTATTATTATTATTGGTATGAATGGATGTTCCACTTGAAAGAAGTGCAAGGTGAGTTGATGCAACTGTAGATTGGCGTATATAAATTGTGTTATTATTATTCAAACAAATATAAATTTCCGAATACAAGCCTCAACACACTTATGTTTATCAGAATTATGAGAGTAATGGTTATTTTGGAAGTTCGTGTCATCACTCTTGTGCGCAATACATACATTATTTCGAAACAAATTAATACTTTTAAGTAAATAATTTATGTGTGCGTGTGTATGCATGTGCATATGTGTATATATAATCTTCAAAATAGGGAATGAAACATTTTTCTTTCTCATCGTTGATACGTCGCGCTTTTTATTAACTTTTTAACCAAACCATCCTTGTGGAAGAGTAAAGGTTTTTGTATCGAAATCGCCAAGAATAATAACATCCATGTTTAAAATATTTTTGGATTCTTTATTTAAGAACAAAATGATCATATATTTAGCTTTATATGCATTAAAAAAAAGTGAATGAATTTAGGTAAGAAGTAGTTTTCTATTAACTATGCATTTTTGCAGTTTAATTATAATATATATTGAATCCTATATATATATACATTTTGTATAATTAATATAGATTGCAATTTATGTATATTCGGCGATGATGATTATAAAAAAAAACTCACACTTTTGCATTAATTCCATTTGCCTTCTACAGTGAAACGCATACTTTATATCGAATGAATCTACGCATTTGAGATGGATAAAGTAAAGAAAAAAAACACAAAAAAAAATCAGACAAACACAAACTGATTGCTTTATACCTACCGACGATCTTTTTACTAATTACTAGATATACAATGAATGCTTTTCTGGTAAATAAACATGTGTAAAACAAGTTAAAACGATCTTAAAAACGTCAAAACCTTGTGTCAAACTGCTTCGTACTCGTTGAATGCGAAAGTATTGTACACAATGAACGAGCCGAAAAACGCGTACCGAACTCATTTATATATAAGAGCAACAAAAAAAAAAAAAAAAAAAATATCGCAGCAATTCTAACATGACGCATTATGTAAAACAGTAGCGAGACGATAACGAAAAAACGAAAAAAAAAAAAAAAACGTGAACGTGACATGTGTTATAGGTGCACATTATAGCAATTGATTAAGACTAAATACAGTACACACGCAGTTGTACTGGAGATACAACATAGAAGTAATACAATTTTTTCATCAATTCAGCGACGGGCCTGCAATTCTGTAACGCGCGCGTTACGAATCCTTGCACAAAAACGGAGAAGCAGACGCAACCGCAAGATAGCTGCGCAACGATTGCGTTAACGATAAAAACAAAAATTTCGTTGTTTTTTACGAAGTTACAGAATAAGGGCGCGTGCTGAATCTATCGTTTCTTTTATTTTCATTTTTCCATTATACAAACGCATGTATACATAGTACATATATTCTCTGGATTATAACAATAAGAATAAATTTTCCTATAGAATTGAAGAATCATACGTAAATTTTTCTTTTAAGGTAGAAACACGAGAGACGCGAGCCGATGCCTCTGTGATGGGGTTTAATTTTCTCACGGGTAGCTATATCGAAAATTAATCAAATGAAAATGAGAAATTGTGCGAATTTTCTTTTCTCGCATCAAAGTTTTATTTTTCGTTTTAAATTTTGCCGCTGTTATTTTAACGAGCAGGAGATATATGCGACGACGAAGTAAAATCTTTAAGGCTCAAGCGTGTAATTTAATCGTGTATTCTATATCGATTTTTTTCTGTTATACAAATTTATAAGTTCAGATGAATATCTGCATTTCAACATCGGCGCTCGACATTCGAGCAACATTTATTTTCCAAAAAAAAAAAACTGACGAACGAACTTCCCATATTCGAATACTTTGGAATTGTGTTGTAAATAAAATTTGAAATACAAACATGTGAAGGTGAATGCAAACGAACATGTAAATTTGTGAAACTGTGTGATACAAAAAGACGAAAAAGTATTTGAATCGATCGGAAGGTCGAGCCCAGATCCGATGAATTCTCTCCACAAATTTAAATTTATTACACTTTTTTTTTTTTTTTTTTTTTTTTTTTTATATGTGTATCAGTATGATCATTGGTCTCGAGTCTTGTTAATGCAAAAATGTCAATGACACTAAATAAAATGTTTGACGAATAAAAAATTCTAAATCGACAGTAGCTGTTACATGGTCAATAACCGATCGTTCGGTAACATTTCGAAAAATCAAAATT